CATTTTCATATTTAACTGCGTCTACAACTTATCCTCGCATTGATACGATTCAAAATTGTTTAAATATAAACAAAAACTAAAAATCAAATTAAACAATATTAACTCTAGTTTAATTCATTATAGTTTTACGAAAACGATTAAAATGCTTTAAAGCATGATAAAATGACAATTATTTAATCATTAAAAAAACTTTTCGTTAAAACATCCAATATAATATTATACATATTAATATTATTTCATATTTGAAACAATAGCGCCGAAATTGGTTGTCGACAGTAACTGTCATTTTCATAAATATTATGTCACCGGAATATAACAAAATCCGCAAGTTTATAAATTTCCTAGCAAACTTTCGTAGGATTCTAAACGAGAGATAAATTGTTTAATTTAATTTTTTTTATTAGTTTCAATTTGATATATAATTAATAAATGTACGTTATGAACGTATAAATGTATCGAAGTCATACACTACGAAGAAGTGCGGCCAGGTGGGGACCCGTGATTTTTTTTTAAACTTTATGTAAATTGCCGTGATGTAGACGATATTTTATTTAAATAACAAGTAAACGAAATGTTTTCCCAAAAATCAATTCAAAATAATTTCATTAAAAATACTATCGGCCAAATTTTGATAGGCAACTTGGTAGCTGATATGCATTCTCCTAATTATTATGAATATACAAAAAAAAATGGTTTTTAGCAAATAACCGATGAGCGCACTAATCCTGCAGCCGGATCTCGTACTATATAATACTTGTAGTTGCGGTCTGCGGATCTTTGAGATATAGTTATATATATGTCACCGTAAAATTGTAAACACCGCTAGATTGTAATCTATATCGCAAGGTGTGATCCGTTTCACAATATGTCGGTTTCACTTCGATAGATTACAAATCTTTCGACAGTTTACAATCTCGCGAGATAATTAAAATTTTATACGGTGACATATATATACTAAGTACCAGTCGTTCCATAGTGCAAAATTTTGCATAGAGTCCTTTTCATGAAAGAAGTTCCACGGAGATTCTTGGAACTAAATTTGACAGGTCGGCCATGTTGTCGTTCGTCGATGTTATCAAGTTCTTTTGTTGTGGTAGATTTTTGTGAGTTTTTAACTATAGTGCTTTTCATGAAAGAAGTCCCGCGGATTTGGAACTAAATTTGACAGTCGGCAATGTTGTCATTCGTCGATGTTATCAAGTTCGTTTGTTGTGGTAGATTTTGTGAATTTTTAACTATCTTAGTGCATTTTAAATATTGATTACAATGCCAAAAGTTGTAAAAAGTTCGGCTCGAGAATTGATATTAAAGGTGAAAGAGTTCTGTGAAGCGGAACAAAAGAATAAAGGTGTTTTAATACCACTAAACAATGTTCGGAAGAGAGTTGCCGCCATAACAGGTACTTTTTAGAGTTGCCATTTAATAATTTTTTGCTGTATTGATGGGAGTTTTATGATAATATAAATTCGTTTTTACGACAAAATTGAACAAATACATAACGTGATGAAACTAGGTAACTGAAATTAAAACATATATTACATAAGCATTATAAACTTAAAGTTACTATTATTTTTAATTGTTCATAATTTAATTGCAGGTGTGTCAGAGAAAACTGTATCAAGAATTACAAACGAAGGTGTAACAGCGGCGTGTACTTCAAAAAAATTGTAACCCCGGGGAAGAGTCGCCCGCATCCGAAAAAGTTCGACTTAGACGGGTTCGATTTGTGCGCTATCCGGCAAAAAATTTACAGTTTTTACGTCGTACATAAAGAATTACCAACATTGGTTAAATTACGGGCAGCTCTGCGAGAGGACATCAATTATCAGGGAAGCATCACAACATTGCACAGGATATTAAATAGAATTGGTTTCAAGTACAAGCGATGTCAATCCAGACGAAAACTACTTATGGAACGCCACGACATTACCGCATGGCGTGCAAGATATTTGAATAAAATACGAATAAATCGCACTGTGGAAAAACGACCAGTTGTATACTTAGATGAGACCTATATACACAATACTTATCATACAAAACGTTGTTGGCAGAGTGAGGAGGAGCCAGGAATGTTCGTCTCAGAATCATCAGGGAGTCGCTGGATAATCGCTCATGCGGGAACAAAAGATGGATTCATAAATGGTGCATTATTAATGTTCAAATCCCAATCAAAGTCCTCAGATTACCACGATGACATGAACTCAGCAAATTTCTTAAAATGGGTGACGGAAAAACTAATACCTAATCTACCTGAAAGGTCGCTTGTGGTAATGGATAACGCTCCTTACCATTGCACTCAATTAAACAAAGCCCCTTCTATGTCAAATATAAAAAGTAGTATGCAAGAGTGGCTCCGGCAAAAGGGTATATATTTTGAAGACACCTGGACAAAAGTTGTGCTGTATGAGCTAATCAAACAAAATAAAGGTCCACCGATATTTGCAGTGGATGAATTATTAACAGCTCACGGACACGAAGTATTAAGGTTGCCGCCTTACCATTGTGACCTCAACCCGATTGAGAATATCTGGAGCCTTGTAAAAAGAAAGGTGGCGGATAAGAACGTGGCACAAGATCCAAAAGAAATATTAAAATTAACTAAAGAGGCCTTTGAGTCTATTACGGCTGAAGATTGGACAGCTCAGTGCTCGCATGTCGAACATTTAGAGGAGGAATATTTAAAAAATGACGGCCTTATGGATGAAGTGATGGACCGAATAATTATATCAACTGCTAGTGATACTGAAACAGAATCTGATTCTGTTTCAATACACTCTTCGGACAGTGATGTCCCTATGGCCGTTGATCACAATTATGCAATAAAACTCTGAATAAACAATTGTATTGCTTTTCTTTACCCTATTTTCTTATCTTTTCCCTGTAAGTAGGTAGAACACCGCAATATAAGTAAATAAAAATATACTTTTTACATAACAGATATATTGTTTCATCGAAGTACGCAGAAAATAGTATTATTTGATAAATTACATCTGCTAAATGTAAATAAAATAGGTAAATTTTTTACTCATAAATGGCAACATTACGTCATGCGATTGCAGCGCCGCGTCTGGGGGACTTCTTTCGTGAAAAGGACTATAGCTTAGTGCATTTTAAATATTGTTTACAATGCCAAAAGTTGTAAAAAGTTCGGCTCGAGAAATGATATTGAAGGTGAAAGAGTTCTGTGAAGCGGAACAAAGAATCAAGGTGTTTTAATACCACTAAACAATGTTCGGAAGAGAGTCGCCGCCATAACAGGTACTTTTTAGAGTTGCCACATAATAATTTTTTGCTGTATTGATGGGACTTTTATGATATAAATTAATTTTTGCGACAAAATTGAACAAATACATCACGAATAAAACAAGGTAACTGAAATTAAAACATATATTACATAGTACATAAGTATTATAAACTTAAAGTCACTATTATTTTTAATTGTTCATTATTTAATTGCAGGTGTGTCAGAGAGAACTGTAACAAGAATTACAAATAAAGGTATAACAGCTGCGAGTACTTCGAAAAAAGTTGTCCGAAAAAAGCATCCGAAATAGTATCAATATAAAAAAGAACAATTATATCTACGGCTAGTGATACTGAAACAGAATCTGATTCTGTTTCCATCCACTCTTTAGACAGTGATGTTCCTATGGCCGCTGATCACAATTATTCAATAAAACTCTGAATTAAAAAATTGTAATGCCTTACTTTCTCATGTTATCCCTGTAAGTAGGTAGAACACAGAAATATTTTTTCATCGAAGTATGCAGAGAATAGTATTATTTGATAAATTAAATATGCTAAATGTAAAATAGGTAAATTTTTTACTTAGAAATGGCAACATTACGTAACGCGATTACAGCGCTGCGTCTGGGGGACTTCTTTCTTGAAAATGACTAGGTATACTTGATGGAATAAACACCGTGAAACACTTTAATATAAATTACTTAAGTTCTAAACTTACATATAATTTAGTCTTGTAAGAAATTAAAGTGCGCAGCATTGAGCTGCTACACTGGTGTAATATTATAAATTTTAATTAAATGAATTTATTCAACTTTTTTAGATCTCCGGTGGCAACTTAAACAATAAACATAATTATTTAATAATCGCTATTTGTTGTATTTTAGATTTTTTTTTTTGTTATTTTGAGATATTAATAAAAACATCATAATATTAGTCGTAATGCAGCAAGGCATTGTGCCTACTCATAATAATATGGAATGATTTATAAATATTTATTAAAGTCATTATTATTAATTAAATATTAAAATAAAACCTTTTAATATTCTGAATAATTGACTGTGGAATCACTATTAATGTGGACTATCACTTAATTTGACTGAATGTCTTATCATCCCTATATGGTTCTGCCCCATGGGGCGTCCACAGTGAGTCTCCATCGCGTTCAGTCTTGAGCCTCGTATTTCATCTCGCTCCTAGTCTTTCTGGTTCTCTTTACCTCATAAGTACGACGCCACGTTAGCCTGGGACGGCGACGCTTCCGCTTTTCTTGTGGGTTCCAATCAAGCGTCTGCTTGGGAATATGATTGGGATCCCTTTGGAGTTCCATTTGCATTTGCGTCGGTTTTTCGGCAGCGCTCCAAAAGTTGCTCGTTAGAGATCTTCTCGGCTAGTAGATGCCCAGAGTACGGCGTAGACAGCGGTTAACGAAGACTTGGAGTCGGTACAAGATGTCTTTGGTGACCTTTCTTGATTTGACGTGTCAACATCCGTGACTGCCATACAGGCCGAAGTTGCTCGAGCTTCGAAGGTTGCTCGGGCCTTGGTAATATCTGTGACTTCGTACAGTATAATGTGCATTTGTATTATCTATGGTAAATCTTAATTTGGAAATTTGAGGTTAGTTAGTGTACAATTAACACTACGATTTGTAGCTCGTTATTTATACTTATAAATCTGATTTCAATTCTTAGTTATATTTATTGTTGGCATTTTCAAACTATATATATTTACGGATTTTTTATAATATAATAATAATGGCCGTAGCGTACGGTATACATTTGGGAAATAGCTCTGGATCCTTGGGTGCTTTAGCAAATGGTACATCTTCGGTATTGGCAAATGATGCGGGGGATAGAGTGACTCCAGCTATAGTAGCCTTACATGGTTCTGAGTGGGAGGTCGGTTTACCTGCGAAATCAGGTCAAGCTTCTTCAAAATCCATTATAAAACATAACAAAAGGCTTATGAACTGTGACTGGAACGACGAAGACCTTAACTTTGTAGAAAAATCGTCCTCATGTCGTATTCAAAATGAAGAAAAATTAGTGTATGAGTTTGAAACATCTGAAACAAAGATATATTCAAGTCCTGACAGTATAGCTACAAAGATTTATGCAAAGCTTTTTACAATTGCAAGCCATTCTGTTAAAGATGAGGGTGATTTAAAGTTAGTATTAGCTGCTCCACTGCATTGGTCACACTCAAGTCGTGAAAGACTAGTGAAATGTGCTGAACTCGCTGGCTTTGAGGTGTTGCAAGTAATAAGTGAACCAGCTGCGGCTTGCTTGGCCTATAACATAGAAGAATCTATTAATGATATTAATGTGTTAGTTTACAGACTTGGGGGCTCTACTTGTGATGCCTCCATAATAAAAATATCAAATGGTTTTATTAGCATTGAAAAGAATATTTATAGAAGTGACCTGGGTGGGCAGTGGCTTACTAAAGACTTGGCAGATTTTATTGCACAAGAGTTTAAACAAAGATGGAAACTAGATCCTCAAGAAAGCCGTAGAGCTATGGCTAAACTTTTACATCATGCTGACAATTGTAAGCATGTCTTGTCAACCTTAAATTCTGCTCATGTATTTATTGAGTCTTTAGTAGATGGTGTTGATTGGAGTCAGAATGTTTCTCGAGCAAGATTTGAAAATATAATATCATCAAAAATTTCTTCTTATATTGAACCAGCTCAAAAGCTTATTGAGACATATGGTGAATCCATAAGTAAAATTGTTCTATGCGGTGGAAGTATGAAAATTCCAAAGTTGCAGTCGGCAATTGCAAATTTGCTTCCAAATGCTGAAATATTGTCTGGAATTAACCCAGATGAGGTTATTGCAGTGGGATGTGCTAAACAAGCTGGAATGATTTTAGATTTTCCAAATTTATCTCTCACTGATGTCAATACTGAGGTTGAATTTTTAGGCCAAGACATTTATCTGAAATATTTAGATCAGACTGTTAAACTTTTTAAAGAAGGAACACCACTGTATACACAATTTACTTGTGATATAGAAACACCTAAGGATTTAAAAAACATTAGTTTTTCTTTGCATACTTTGCCAGAGGAGGATGAATTTGCAAAAGAAGAATTCAACATAGAACATTTAAATAAACCTTTTAAGTTAAAAGCAGTACTTCATGATTCAAATTTTATGTTACAAATTGAATGACAAATTAATTAAATATATTTTAAACCATTCTCTGCTGTTTTATTTTTATTCCTGTACTGAAATTAATTAAACACAAAAAACAAATTAATTAAAGGTGGACTAGCAAGCGACTATGCTAATGCCTGCTACGTCTACCGATGTACAATGTAGTTGGTTAGGTGGTGCTTTAAGCAATTCTTAACGCAGAATCTTAGTCCATTATTATCGTATTGCCTTCAAACCGGTTTTTAGTAACCGCAATGGCAGCAGATTTTCTAATGGATTTTCTATAACTCATAATTTAGATAGATAAATTGTGTAATAATGGCTTATTCTAGGGATGTGAAAAAATAATCGATTTTTAACGCGATTTTTATATTTAAAATAATCGATTATTTTTATAATTGAAAATCAATCATAGCCGATTTTTTATCTGCCACCTCCCGACATTATGTCTGGTCTTTTATAACCCGGACCTCGAACTATTAGGGATATTCGATATACAACGATGTTTACAATGCGATACATTGAATCCGATTCCTTGAAGATGTATTGATATACTCGATGCATTGATGTTTTTTTGTAAAACATCGAAAGGATGATAAAACCAGTGAATTTTACAAAAACTCAAAGTTTGAATGGAACACTATAATTTTAAAGTAAAATAAATTTATTCAGCAGCACAAGATTACATACAATTAAAAAGACAACAAAAATACTGCAATGTGCTTCTGAAAAGGCATACACTCAGCATTTATCAAATTTCACCTAAAATCTATCAAAAAGAGATTAAGTTAATTTCGATTTTGATTATTCTTAACCGTTAATTTGTGTTTATAATTTTTATTGTTTATTTATTATTAAAAAAAACATGAAAAATAAAATATTTAGGGTGATTATTTTGAAATTAATTCAAAAATTAGGAAAAAATCGATTTTTCATGCTAAAAAAATAATCGATTAATAAAAAATCTATTTTTCATGCAGAATGTCACATCCCTAGCTTATTCAGAGTTAGTACCTACTAGGTTGATAGGAGAATTAATATTACATATAAAGGTTTCTAAATTCATGCGTCATGTTTGACATTTTGACAGCTGTCAGTAATTTAACATATGGCCGAAAGACTAGGCGATATGGTTGAAAGACTATAGCCTGCGCCATAGGCGAAAATTAAAAAAAAAATTTACATATGGCGGGAAACTTAAGATTTCAGCTAAAAAACATCAATTGTGAAAATAAAGAACAAGGTATATTAATGCGAATTATTTATTCAACTGAACAATGGAGGAAAATAAAACTGAAATAAAAAAATCTTTAGATGGTCGACTACAGAATATTTTAAACCAGTTTTCAAAATGTAAAAAGGTACTTTGTTAAGGGTACATTTCTATTCATTGTTTTCATAACAATATTTACTAGATGATAAGAATTGTGTGGTCTGCGCTGTACTTGCGTAGATATTTGAATTGGTTTAAAAAATTAAATTTTACAATTTAATATTCAACAGATCTTTATGAACGAAGGCGAGGAATGCAAAAATCTTAGAGAAATAAACACAAAGTTACTAATAGAATTAAAGGAAGCAAGAGAGTTAGAAAAATCTCACCGTTATCATTTAATGTCATCGCGTGAAATGATCGCCAATTTGCAGGAGACAGTTTCACACTTGGTTTATCTTAAACGGGATGTAAAAAAGATTAAAGATGAACTAATTTCTAAAGATTCTATTCTAGACACATTGGAGAAGGTAAGTTTTTAAAGTGTACTTTTGTACTCCTCATTATTAGTAAGTTCATACTTAAAATAATCTTCAAACAATAAAAAATATATATTAAGGTGCCTCTAAAGTATCTGCTTATACAGAGTTATTGGTAATTCGACGAATTCCCGTTACAAGGTGATAGGGGTGGCTATTTGTAATAATTTTTTTGTATGTTTGTAAGGAAAACATAATATTTAATATTTTCCTGTACAAACTCTTTTTATATTTTATTTTTCTTTGCCGTCTGATCGACGATGTTTAATTTGTCACTTGACATAATAGATGTAAGATGTTTTAATTTTTTAATTTTATTATTTTATTTTATAAAACCTAGAATATAGGCTTTAAATGTTGTTTCTTTTGTATTCACAGGTGAGTGAATAATTTGTAAATATAATTTTTTTTATTTAAATGTAAATTAATAGATATTTCTTTTGTAAATAAATATTTTGTATTCACAGAGAAACGCAGTTGCGCCTTATTTATTCCCAGTACTCGTATAAGCGATTGATACCATTATATGTATTTATGCAACATTTTTGAGTTATCATGTTTTTTGGCTTTTTGTGACCTATTGTGATAATTTATGTTATCCTCCTAACGAATTATCAATAACCCTCTAACAGGAAAAAGAAAATGTTTCGAGGAAACATAACGAAGTCTTAACAGAATTACGAGCCGCACACGACAAAGAAATGAAGGACTTAGCGCAGGATAACAACAGGAGAGGTAACTCACTTGACTTCAAAGTAAAAACAACGTCAAAGTAATCTTTTTTTGCTTTTAAAGTAAATATAAAATATATATATAAATAAATCGAATCCTTTAATAGTTAGCATTTCCACGATTTCATATTTCTTTTTAAACAGCTCAACAGGTTCAAATAGATTTAGAGACGCAAATTGCTCAAATGACGTTTGTCGCCGAAGAATTGCGCAACAGGATCAAAGAAATAGAAAACGAACATCAAGAGAAAGTCGGTATTGTTTAAATATTCTCGTTAATTGGTTAGATTCTGTTTTATTGCGAAAATTAAATAAAAATATAGATGAATGCGGTGGTGCTGGAGTACGAGGCGAAGCTCCAGCAGCAGGTCCGGCTCCAGGAAGGAGCCACGAAAGAGGCCGAAGCCTCTCGAGCCCATCTCCACGCCTATCAGAGGGTGAGGCTTTGCGCCGTCTGTAATTACGTGTCTAATTGTGCAACGCATTACTTGAATTGAATTCGCTCTAATTAGTACGAAGCGAGTTTTGTCAGAAGGCAATACATAACAATAACCCGTTCCAGTTTACCCACTAATTAAGAATCATATCAATTATCAGTCCATCAAATTGCACTGAAATGAGGCGGCGTGACTCGTTAGCTGTATTTTTTGTGAAATTTAGCTCTCTCTCTCTCTCTCTCTAGTTTAAATTACTCTTTAATTAACGCAGTATTAACAAAATATTGAGAAACATTTCTTATATTTTGTAATGTCTTGAAGGCTTTTTTAATTTTAAAGTCATAGATAAGTGTCGTTCACTATAATATATTATGTTTCTGTTTTGAAATTTTTCTTACAAGAGACATTGACGAATTTGATGACCACCAACCGTTTCCAATATGTCAATTTTTAAATTCAGAAATTAGAAATCCTAGAAGAGAAAGTTAAGCAAAGTCAGTTCAAGGAATATCTAGCTCAGAACATATACCCTCCAGAACGCGAGGGTAAAGTGGAACAGCCCTATTCTGTTGAAACGAATGCGACGTACGGGTACAATGCACCCGAACTGCTCACGACACAGGCTACATATTCGGACAACAAGTCCGAGACCAACGAAAAGAAGGGGCCGTTCAACATCGTTAAGAAGAGGAAGCTGTTCACCGACAAGAGATTTTTGAACATGTAATCGTTCATTTGATTGTATGATTAATAAATGCTATGTTCAGAATAAAGTGCATATTAATCGATTATTCCCCTCACTTTCACTGCGCAGTGCATTTACCCTGCGGCACTTATCTCATGGTTGGTAGCATCGACAGGTGTACATGCACACAGACCATACGTCCGACATCTTGGGTTCGCTAAATCGGTTCCTCTCAAACGAAGAGGTAGAAGAGTTAGATTTCTGTTAAGAAAATCAATTATAAAGAGCGAACGGCTCTTTTATGAATATGATGCAATTATCATTTTTATAAAACGATATATGATATCTTTCGACGTAGGTAGTCAACTTTCAGGTTTCTACACTTTATATATCTTTTTTCCAAAAGGTAAACTGATTTCTTAGAAAATAGTGTACCGCGGCGACTACTGCGTCTTCAAATTTATGGCCTCTGAGATGTTTTTAACGGATGAAGGATGATCCATAAATTCGAAGCTAGCTTCTTGAAAGGCAGCCATCGCAACTCAAGACTTATGGGCGGGGCTGTTTCTATGTGTTTCTGTATTATCTTGGTGAAACAAAACAACTAGTTTGCCACGACATTGCCTGCGTACAAAGTCCCCGAAATACTGGCTCCATAATTTAAGTATTCGATCATTACCACCCCTTGTCTGTCCAAGGAAAAACTAGCCCATGATCTTACCGGCGGACGGAATCGTCTTAAATTTCTACGGAGTTGGAGATGACGGCCTCTTTCAAATCCATAGTTATAAATCGAGCTTTATGAAATTCTGTCTCGTTTGATTCTGCGCGTTAGATATTGTAATAAACACTTCCTATCATTCACATCACATAAATGTCAGGACAACGTTTTCAACTTATTTATTATTTCTTCAGTTACTACTGATGTACGATTAGGGCGTCCCGTGCGGGCTCGGCACACCGACCGGCAATAGCATACGGAGGAGCATGAGCCCCTCATGTTGCTCTCAAGGCCTCGCGCGAAATTAAATTTAACCCATTTTTAAAGAAAGCCTTCGTCCACGACGCTAACAAATTATATAATTTACTTTTAAAAGTCAAAAGATGATTGCTATCTTTTCTTATTATTAATTATTATATCTAATGTCTGGCTATGCCTGACTATCGCATCTGAGTATCGCATTATCACTATTTAGTGAACCGCTCGTAGATATTAACATGATATGTTCATCAATGAACCCATTCGGAATGTAGTTAAATGTTTTCTATTATTATACTTATCTACTTCTTGTCGCTAATTTTGTGGTAACGGTGTTTTAGTTCAGTTATATAATATTATACCCAATCATTATAATAATTAAGCAAGCAATAAATGGAACAGTAACTTAGTACTGATAAATAATTAATTCATTAATTATTGTAACGAAATTAAAAGAGCATTTATAAGCAGACAAGCTGAATGTTGTGCGTTTCCCTTGAAATAATTATCGGTTCGTAGGTCGTATAAGTTAATGCAAACTAAGAGTGTTGACTTTTGTGGTTCCCAGTACTTAAACTATAATTTGTAAAATGTCATTTGGATTGGTATTCGAGAAAGTACGTTATTGCAATCTTAACCACTAATAATGTTACTATCGTAAACAGAAAATCGTGAGACCTCTCACTTTTTCGCATACAACCGTGTGGTTAAATTAAATACGCAGTTTATTGTTTTTTAAATTGCAAAACCGTACAAATTCTCCTTTTATGAGTAAACGGTGAATAAACATTTTAAAGTTTTTTATTATTTAATTTGTTCTAAAGTAATTCGTTTGAAGCGATAGACATGATATTATTCCTAATACATACGTTAAACATGACAAATATTAAATTTTTAACAAAGTTACCATTGACATCATTCGATTGAATAGAGTATGTATTAGGATTGCATTGAATATCAGTAACTCGGTAACAAAATTATAGTCTAGTACCATGAGCACATTTATAATGTGCAATGCTGGTCTCCAAATAGACGTACATAAAAGTACATGCCATCTTCTTCTTCTTCATCGTCGATGCGCTCTTGATAGAGCGGTCGTGGTTGATATTTTGTAGTAATGCTCTTGAAACCTCCTTCTTGTGTATTAATGGGGAGGATGGTTTAGCGCATTCTTGATTTGATCAGTCCGCCTCATAGGTTACCGCGAGCTGTTGTCCCTTCCACCCTCCGCTGCACTGGATCCACGTCGCGATACGTGATCAAAGAAAGTGAGATTTACTACTATTTTGACTTTGAAAGTTGGAACACCGACACTGCTTAACTTTTAGGTCATCGATGATCGATTGGTTAGATTTATATCCCGAGTATTCGTCTCCAGTACCACATTTCGACATACCACACCCTTGATTTAACTAAATTTGTTACTTATGGTAAGATCCAGGCTGCCGTTATACTGCATTCCGAATACTAATTATATTATTAAAGGGAAAATAATCTAGGCCATTAAACTTTCTTTGGTATATTTATTCTAAACTAAGGAATATTGAAAATACTTATAATAATATATTTGTTACACGAATATTTGTGCATCTAAGCACTAACTACGACTACAGTATATACAATGAATTATTATGGTTTTAATGATTGCGAATGAGCCTGTCCAAAGTGTTCCAGCTGCAGGAGTAATCGATCTGCAAATGTCCGTACCTCGAAAGGTGGAAATTGTTAGGAGCCGAGTGAGGCATCGGGTGAGCCCAATCCTCATAGTTCTGTGGTAAACTCTCGTACGTATCTGCCATCCTGCGGGGAAAGATTATTTATTACCAAATGTGCTGATAACATATTTTTTTAGAATTGGGGGCAAACGGGCAGAAGGGTCACCTGATGTTAAGTGATACCGCCGCCCATGGACACACTCAATGCCAGAGTGAGTTGCCAGCCTTTTGAGAGTTGTCACGCTCTTTCTTGAAGGACCCTATTCGAATTGTTTCGGAAATACTGTAGTGGGCAGCTGGTTCCACATAGTGGTAGTGCGCGGCAAAAACTGCCGTAAAAACACTCAGTTGTGGAACGATGATGAAACTCAGCTGCATGTATCAGCCGCTCGGAAAGGGATCAGTCGTCGACGTTTCGAATCGCTCTTCGTTGAATACGGTCAAGCGGAAGGAGCTACTGGGGTGCTCCCGCCCAGAGGAGATTATAAAACGATCACGATGTTGAATATATATAATTTGTGTACTATTTTATATCTTCGTGGAGAAGGTTGAGAAATGAGTGAGTTGGAATGTTGTGAAATAATTAATTCTGCTCTACGCGGAGCTAATGCTCATCGCATGTAAAATTCAACCTTTATTTCGCGTTTCACCTACATACCACAAGGTAATTACAGAAGATATTAAGTTACTCGCAATTGTTGTGATCTCTCGAGCATGTCAATACAATGTGATAGCACGGATTAGATAACCATTCAGCGAGTAACTTCGTTGTGACTTTGCTGTAAATCGCGAGCATTATGATCGTGTTATGAATGTAAGTGAGGCCGATGATGTGACTTTCTAAACCTTGTTGGGCTTACGTAAGCGACAGGTATAATATTTACATATTTTTAATATGTATATCGTACCGTACACACGTTTATCGTAATTATGTACTACTTTCTGATTTGTAGAAGTTTGAAACTATTCCTTCGCGTGATGGACATTGCCAGGGTCAATGTTAGGAACGAGTTTCTCTTAGTTTATAAGAAAGAAACAACATTTCTCACAGATTTAACTTTCATTTGTAGTAAACAAAAACTCACCCACGTTCACACGATGGATGGTAGACTGCGCGTCATTTTGTGTGCGGAATAAGACCTATAATAACAGCTCTACACTACGAATAGCATTATGATTTTGCACGCATTTTACGGGAACGGGATGCGAAGATGTTTTTATATATATTCTTAATATTTATTATAACTTTTAATTCGAACCACTAAGAGTCAACAAAAGTAAAACCTAAATGATGCATTACTATTCATCACACGTAAAAGTAGATACGTATTCATATAATTTCAGGAAACTAATTAAATATTCTAATATTATATATATATACATATATATATATATATATATATTTCACGCGATACTTAGTGAAATTCAAACAGTGCGATTTGTGTGTCAATAAATACAATAATACATCTTGTTGTAGGACACCCTCACCTTGACTGTCTTCGACTCCTGTGACCACTAGCTGGTATATAATCAGGGTGAAGTGATAAGGACACTCGAGGTCGCAGAGCTACGTAACCAGGCGGTGGCACCGGGAGAGGACCATACATGCTTTCATACACCAAAGGATGAGGTATGAATTGAGGTTCTTCTACGTACATGGAACGTCTTCTTTCTGCTAATATATTTTTAAAATTATAGAAGATGTACGCTATTTAAAATTTAGATTGTTTAAATAAATTTGAGATCATGTTATCGAAGGATCCTTGACACAATTAAAACGCACAATAATTTAGATTACGATTGCCTCAGGTTACATAGTAAAGAATACTTACCCACGGGTCTTGGGGTGTACACCGGCACATCGTGAGCATCTGGCAGTACACATCTCGATCTTCTTCGGCCATAAATTTCCTCTGGGTTAAGGGGGCGTTTTTGTGGTTTCTCCTCCGAAGAGTCATAATTTTTTGTTGGGACATAGTAAAAGCTTGCACTGACGGGTTCACCAGCGAAGGAGTTGAACTGCTCTTGACCGGAATCTGGAGAGTTTCCGGGAATTCTCGCTATAGCATCACTGTCCCATGGATCCAGATACATTCTATTAGTGGACTGTGGAGACCGATCGTCCTCTTCGCTGTCAAAATCGACTGCGGTCCAGTATGGGCTGTTGGCGTGTCCTGGCATTTTTTATTTATTTTTTAGGCAATAGGTATCGTAAAAATAATTTATTGTATACTTTGTAAAATAGCTGAGCACTTTTCAATCACTAAACACGTTCTACCCATACTTGGGTAGTATTGTAATTCAAAATCGTTTGTTTGCTAACACTTTTTATTATTCGTATCACGCCACTCACAGACCTCGACCAAATATCAAAATTCATAAGTATATTAACACTACGTAGCCGACTGCTAAAGAATTTGTGATGTTTGCGTGCGCACACCGCGACACCTTCGTTTAAATGAAATTAATGCTTAGACTTCTCAATAATTCTCACTTCAGCGCTAGAAGCGACTGCTGATTGAGCAAGGCGATGGAAGCGAACTTGCATTTATTATTTAACTAGGTACACGGGTTTTCTAAATCTATTTGAAATTTGATTCTTGTCTATCTTTCTTTCTTGGAATATAATATAATCTAAATAAATAGGTAAATATTTGGTCGCATAATATTAAAAAAGTTCTGCCTGAATACTGGATTTGTTTAACAAGGAAGCGAATTCTAAAAGATTAAGTTTCAGCTTAAAAAAATAAGTAAGCTACTTGTAAAATTTTTAGACAAAGTCAGCTTTTCTATAGGTGTGACATTTGTTTGGCGTTCGTGGGTCACGCCTGTCGAAAAGTGATTTTGTCTCAAGCCCCAGGTTTGCTTATAAGTTATATGCTAATAGCTTAGGAACATTAGATAGTCAATAACATTAGATAGATAGTAACATCAAAAGGGCTGCCTTCTTAAAACATATTAGTGTATTGCCTCCGTAGATCGAAAACTCATTAAGACCTTAAGCTAATAAAATGTATGATTTCACCCGCGCGTCGCCCTCCGCCCGCTTTAGTGACAAACGCAATCACCGCCATGCATTAGCATTTTGTACGGTGCGCAGTATATGCAATACAGTTAGATAAAATAATTTAGATTCGGTCTAGTGCTATTTATGGATATATGTGGGTGAGGATTAGATATGGTGAATATAACGAGTGTCAGAATAACCACGTAGCAAGAGTAGCAATGCTATAAGCCCCGTCTGAGTGTATTTTTTAGTATTTGTCAGAGCCTAACAGCGCCTTTAATAACTCAGGCCTACAATTTTTTATTAATGAAAAAGTGTTTGAAATTGAATAGGTACCATATAGTAAATGGGGTGTGCCAATCACAAAATATTTATAGAAAATTGGACTGAAAAATTGAGTTGTAAAAACAAACAATAGAGTATAAATAATAATCTAAGTTAGACAATCGTTGTTTTTTTTTAAATCGTTCTCTTTTTTCCTGAAAACTGCGTTTTGTAGTTTAATTTTTGTGTTTTAAATCTCCACAGAGTTGCCAACAATATTCGCTATCCTTTATTTAGCTAACAGCTCAAGATTCTCACACGTTTTTTTTAGATGCACGGACCACAGGCAACAGCCACTGAGGCATAAGTATTGCCATTGTGATACTCCATGATCTGGATTCGTTATTGTCAGCTCCAGTTTCATGATTACTTCAGGAATATCATTACAAGAGTGAACCCTCTTGAAAGAAATATTCCGCGAAATCTTTTTCACGATGCCACGAATATGTCGTCTCTGGATCCAACAGATATTTGTTTTTCAATCGTGATCCTAAGATTTGTGGAGCATTCTTTGATAGGTCCAAGCCTCTCCTAAGTCATTAAGTTCAGTTGAGCCTATATCAGGATTGAATTCGTCTTCATCGGTTTTTTCGTTTGTACTTTCGTCTGATGATTGCTGTTGGTTGGTATGAAGAAATGATAGAGGAATGGGAATCCCTGGTCAATGACGGTAAATCGGGATACTAAATAGTATGTTTATTTTATAGTATTGTCTTTGATTGACATAACCTTTACACATTTAAAGAAAAAACTTTTTAACCGGATTAAAGTTATGTATTATTATAAATTTACAATTATTTAACATAATTTTAAATTTATCCGACGTTTCGCTTGCTTTACAGCGTGCGTGGTCACGTGGTGCGTTGGATGTCAAAAAGTATCACAGCTGTAGAGAAAGTTGCATTATCTGTATTTATTTCCCCGGAGTTGGTATCGACTAAAAGATGGAGGGTTTTGGCAAAAATGGCCCACGGTGTCCTCTATTTTCGTGGATTGTTTTTCTTGAGATTTTAATTTGGATATTATTGGATCCCAGGTGTTTGATACTTTTAGGCCGTCTTCTCTATTGGGGTGTTTTTTGATTTCAATGGCTTCGCGTACCAATCTTGGGAAGACTCTTTTTTCTTTCGCAAGTACTTTCGATTGGTCAAAGCGTATGTAGTGATTAGGCCTATCTAGGGGTCTAGCCAAGATGGCTTAACAGTAGTGTATGTAGAAAGTCGAAAACTAAATTTGTATGAAAAAATTGAAAATGACAGCTCGTGTCGACAGTCGGTAGCCTAGGCCCTAAAGGCGTGAGTCGGCATACAATAAGCGACGCCATGACAGTGCTACGAAAAGACACACATTAACGCCTTTAGTACACCTACGCAATCGCATGCGGCAGCGAAACGACGAAAAAACTGTAAGTTGTATGGCAATGTTTCGCATGTGTTTTGTCTCGCTCTATTATATAGCTAGATGAAATAGTTGCGTCCTTGTCGGTATTGTTTCGCAAGTAACTGCGAAATGGCTGTTACACAGACGCAGCCGTTTCGCTAGCGGAGTTTCGCATCGCAATGCGTCACCACGCGTTCTGTCAGTGAGGACAGAATTTCGCACATTGGAAGCCGAAAATATTGAATTATTATTAAATTTGATTCGAAATTATCCCGAATTATATTTAGTTGGGCATGTTAATTACAAAAATGCATACAAAAAAGAGGTGGCATGGAGGAAAATTCAAGAAAAGACGGGGATAGATGGTAAGATATAAAGCTACAATGACATTTCCTTGCGAAAAAACTGCAGTGTACTAACGTTCCGCAGATATTTCGCTACCGCAATTATTTCGCAAAGACTCGCAGCCGCATACGAACGCGTAGGTGTACTAAAGGCGTAACGCTTACGCTATTCGGTAGCCAACGGCCAATTAATGTTTCGGCAGTGTAGAAAAAACGGCGTTTCTCCGCCATGATTTAGCGTGATCTCAAAAGCTGCTGTTTGCAATAATTCAGTACAACTATTGCCATCTTTAAATTTTAATGGCTACCGTTTTAAAAACATGTCATATTTTGAACGTTTTAACGAAATGGTTTTAATTTGTTATCTGTATTTTTTTAACGTTCTCGTGTAATTATAATAATTTAAACTAGAGTTAATATTTTTAAGTTAAGAGTTTTAGTTTTTCTATGAATCAATGCGAGGATAACATAATAGACACAGATAAATATGAAAATATCAAGAAAATCAGCAAATTAGTAGAGGTAAATCCTAGTTATATTGGATATCTTTTATTGATATTTATATGGCATGTACCTAAGTTCATGAAATTGTTCTTTAATTTGAAAAATACATAATATACCATTTAATATTGCATATATTATGTAATCACAAAGTAAAATGATTGTACATTTTATTTCTATATTTCAGATGAGAAAGCAGTCACTAATGAACATAATTTTCTAATTAGAACTTCTGTTCTAAATATATTTTATTGTAATTATAATAAAAGCTGATAATGATATAATATTGATTTCAATTAATCAAATAAAGTGGATTTATACTTTATGAACTTTGGAAATATAAAATCTAGTGAGCAATACTAAGTAATGGTAAGCAGATATTTTCTTTAATTATTTACTAAGTCAATATACTATAGAAGTTATTATAATATTGTTAATGAATGAGAAGTTTGAATTCAAGTCCCTTGGGAGTTACTGACATTGTTTGGTTATTAAAAACTTTAATTGACAATAAGCAGCAAAGTGACTAATTAAGTATATTTTTAAGTTTAGAATTAAGTAAAGAGTTTTAATATTAAAGTTACCTATTGAACAAACCTTGGACCGATCTTAGTTTAGTTTGTCAGTTTTCTATTTGATCAAAGTACTAACTAAAATATTTTCTTTTCAGAAAAAGAGAAGCTAATATAAGACAACTAAAAATATTAAAAAAAAAACACAAATGGACAAGTTTTATTAAAATCTTATCTTTTAATTAATTTATGTGTTATATTATGTACCTGAAAATGGGGAATGAAGCATTTTATGAATAATGTAAAAAATAAGACAAGTGGAGTATGAAATAATGGTTGGTTAAGTAACATTACCTCAAGAACAGGAAACAGTAACTGAAACTATGTTCTTCCACATTTAATCTTAATAAGTTCAGCAGTTTGAATGTTAATGAGATATTATTATAAACAAACTGGATTTGTAGATTTTGGGAAGAATTATATCTTTAAAATAACTATTATTATTTACAATTGTTGTGTTAAGGAAACAATCACTGTTTTTTTAATCGCCCAGGATGTATTCATAGTAACTGTAGGTATAGTAATTTTATGAAATCATCACAACATCTAACGTTAGGTTTTATGAAATGAACAATTTTTTGTATATAACAGCACACAAACAAGATATTGACTTTGCTGCAAATTAACACTTACATTTATTAGTTAATTATCTACATATATAAATATGAATAATTGAATACATCTACATTAGGTAGTAATGCATTGAATTTGGTGCACCTGTGTGTGTTCAGTAGTAATGTCTGTATTGTTTAATAAGTTGTTACATATGCTTATTTTTCTATGTAGACTGCATTATGTTAAGGAAGATATTTGGTGCCTTATTTTAATAAAAAATAACCATAACTGAAACATTTTTATTTTGCTACCTATTTGTTTAATATTCCTAACTATTAGTAGGTACGGGTCATTCATATATGCATTATCTGTATATTCTTGTAAAATAAACTAATATTGTTAACCACTTTAATGGCTTTTCCTACTAAAGAAGACATAGGTAAATTACCAAAAATAAAACTGACAAATACATTTTTTTTTTTTTTCTGCGGTTATTTG